CTACTACTACTACTACTACTCCGAGGACGACGACGGCCACGGCGGCAACGGCGACGGCGACTGTGACGCTGTGGTCGGGCTGGGACCTCGATCTCTTGGAGGCGTCCGGGACCGCTGTGCCGGCCTTGCAGACGCGCAGAAGGAGCCATGCTGCAACAGTTGTTTCGGGATTTTGGAGGGGGTTTCTAGAGGATTATATGCAGGGGGGAGGGATTTAAAGAGAGCTTCTTTATGTGCAGGGCTTTGGGATCTTAAAGCGCGCATATTCAGCGCTCGAGGGCCTTATGGGGGTTTGCATGAAGGGTTTAGGGCTGAGGCTCGAGATGCGGAAGCGCGACGTAAAGGCGCAGGGCGGTTTGGAAGACCGCGCCTGTCTTTTGCAGAAGCAGTCTCGGGCTTCTGAGGCTGGTCATCAGCCTGCTCTGTTTGCTTCTGGAGCCTGGCTGCAAAATTGCTGTGCTGACTGTCGAGCTTGAGAATTGAGGCATGCGCTTCTTCTGCTTCTTCAGCTCTTTCTTCAGTTTCCTGAGATTGAGGGCTTTTCCGGTCGTGCCATTGCTCCGACATTGGTCTTTGACTTAGAAAGAGGAAGCGAGATCCGTCCCAGTTGAGTACGAGGGGCTTCTTCTCTTTCTTCGCCTTCTTCTTGGCTTTCCTCAATCGAAGTGATATTGAGTGACGTCGCCACCCACATGCTGTGTGGATCAAACGCATGCCTTTGCTTCATTCACCAGGTGTAATGCTGCTCCAGGCAATGCACCCGTCCACAAGAAGAAGAATCTGCATGTTCATCCAGGTTGCCAAAATCTCCAATTCTACACCGTTGAATCCCCCTGAATTGATGGCCGGGCATCTTCTTAGCTTTCTTCCCCGATTTGCTGGTATCCTTGACAAGCGCAGAAATCCCAAGCAAACACGCCAAAGGGCTTTCGGTGCGAATTCACCGCCGAGGCACAGAGCTGCTGGAGGAGTCTTGAAGCTTCTCAAGCTGCCTGAGAAAGCAGCGCTTGCGGTCCCTCGCAGTCTTCGGAAGTGCGCCGCATCTACTTAAAGGATCATGGGACTTAGTAAGTAGGGTTATAATTAAGGTAGCTATACTTATAACCCCAATTAAGGGGACTTATAACCTAACTTACTAAGTCCCATGATCCTCCAAGTACCCCCGTCCCTCGGCCCCTGGGCGCGCGAAGGAGGCCTCTGCATCCAGGTGTTCGGAAGGCTGCTTCGCTGCATCTCCTCCAAGCCTAGCGCGAGGCCTCGAGATGAAAGCAGAGGCACTGCCAGCTACTCTACACTCTACTCAGAGTCTACAGGCATGGCCAGATCTCAGATCTCCCTCGAACGAATCCCTCCAGGCACTGCAAAGACCCCTGAAGTCATTGAACTCAGAATGCCTCAAGAAGCTGAGACTCCAGGACTAGCACAAGCCACCTTGCGGCCCGTCAAAGTTTCGGAAGGCATGGTACCGGTCGAAGGCTGCACACATCACTGGCGGAAGAAGGCTTCGGCTGACGGATCTGCTCCGACATGCGAGGAGCTTCCTCGAGAACGTGTCACGAAACTAGACCCCGAGCTGTACCGTGTGCTTCCTGTGCCAGGGTTGGTTCAAGTCAGAAATACCTGAGCACACTCGGCTGCGAAGCATCTCAAAATGGCGGCTTTGCACAAAAGGACAACCACGATGCTGAATCCGGAAGCAAAGAGATTCCTCGAGGAACATGGCCAGGGTTCCTGAGCGCCGAGCTCCAGCCTTTCTGCCTCCTTGGCCGACAGCAAGGAGATGCCGACCTTTGCAGTCTCCCTCCGCTCTATTTCACAGAAGTATATTATGGGAGGTCCGAATTGGAGCAAGGACAGCGCACAAGTAACAGTGCAACGGACTTTGCAACAACAGGTCAGCCCTGACACTCAATCAAGAAAACAAAAACAAAGAAGCCATCTTTGAATAGCAATGCCCTTGATTATGGTAGTGGCAGTGGTAAA